TTTGGAAAGAATATTTGAAAATCTAGAAAATAGCTGGAAAATTAGGTTCTTGATTATAAGTACGTTTGTTGTCGTGTTGAGATTTAAAATTTAGAACATAAACCTGAATTTTGGAAAAACAACATTTGAAAGCCTGGAAAATAATTGAAAAATTAGGAAATTTGTAAAGTAATGTAAATGGAGACATTGGAGAAAATTTAGAAATTAAAAAAAAACGTATGTTTCGAAATCTGAAAAAGTTTTGAAGTAAATTTAAATATATTGTTAAGTGTGAAATGTACCATAAATTATAGCTCTTGATCTTGTTTTCTTTTTTGTCGTTGTGAGAGTAAAACATTCAGAAAGTAAACCTGAACTAAAAAAAATATTTGCATACCTGGAAAATAATTGAAAAATTAGGAAATTTGTAAATTAATGTAAAGATTTGGGGATTTTGAACAAAATTTTGAGATTTGTAAATTGTAAATTTCGAAATCTAAAAAAATGTTGAAGTAAAATTAAATATATTGTTAAATGTGAAATGTACCAAAAATAAAAAATCCTGATTATAATTACCTTTTTTGTAGTTTTGAGAACAAGAATTCAGAAAATAAATCTGATTTTTGACATTTGGAAAAAAAATATTCGAAAATCTGGAAAATATGTAATGTAATGTGTAAAGTAATGTATAGATTTGGGGATCTTGGACCAAATTAGTAGATTTTCAACAAAATTTGGAGAGAAATTTCGAAATTTAAAAAAAATGTAAATATCGAAATCTGAAGAAATTTGGAAGTAAATTTAGATATTGTATATTGTTAAATGTAAAATGTACCAAAAATATAAGGTCTTCATTATACTTACTTTTTTATCATTTTAAGACTAAACGTTCAAAAAATAAATCTGATTTTTGACATTTGAAGAAAAAACTATTTGAAAACTTGGAAAATTTGAAAATCTGTATAGCGGGGATTTTGGATTTTAAAAAAAAATTTGGAGATTTTGAAAAAATATTGGAAATTTCTGAGAATTTTGAAATCTGAAAAGAGTTAGACGTAAACTTGGATATAAAATGTACCAAAAATCGGAGCTCTTGGCTATGAGTACTTTGTTGTCGTTTTGAGACTAACAATTCTAAAAATGGATTATAGTTTAAAAAAAATAATAGCTAATCGAAGTCAGAAGTAGAAAATAATTTTCAAGTATAGAAGAGTTTATGTGATTGCAATACAGAGTCCAACAATCAAGTATTACGAATTAATCTCGAATAAGGTTAATACAATAATTAAGATGTTAACAAAAAATCCAATTAAGTATTATTTCATAACTCCAAATTTTTAAACAGCAACTGAAAAAATAATAAACATTATTTTTTAATATCATTACTTTAATATTGATTATATTGCAGCATCAAAATCTCTCGTGTCCTTGAAAATTATTTTCTACTTTTAAGTTCCATTTGGTGTTGAAGCGTGTTTTTTTAACCTTATTTAACAATAACATATTTTCTGAATTTTTGACATAAGACATAAGTGTTAAATGAGGTTAACATTCACGTATAGGTATGTGGTACTTTGACTGCCAAACCCACTATAATGTAAGGTTAATGATAAGTAACCCAGCTAATTCTTACTTTTTAAATGTAACATCATTTACCAAGCTTTTATATTGAAGCTCTTGGGGGGCTGATCCTAGGGACAAAGTAGCATGCTTATTATAGCGAAGGAGAATGGACCCCATAGAGGAGGGCTAAAAGGACCAAAGTCCGTTGGGATATTGGTCCATTAATGCAACATTATTGATCAGCACTTTCCGGAGAATGTAAACGGTGTATCCACACCCTGTACATGTGAATAGTATTCCAGGCAGTTTGAGAAACATTTAGCTGTAAAGGCACTTTCCAGACCTAAACTAAACTTCAACAAACGGAACAAATAACTCCCTGGCTACTATACTTCGTGCTAGTTAAAGTACAGCAGGGGCCTCAAAGTAGGTTTCTTGCTTCAAGAATTGAACAACTGTTGCCTCAGCAATTGAAAAATCAGTGATTCGGACACAAGGCGTGATTGAAATTACTATAGATCAAGATCTATACTAAGTCATCGGTAATATAATAGTATAATGCAGCAGTTGTGGACAGCTGTATTTATCGTGTTGAAGGAAAATCGATCTCATTTATTATTGAAAGGCCGTTTGCTAGAAAATAGTTACCAAGTAAAAAGCAACGCAACTTGAGCTTAAAGATTCTATATGTGTTGCAACTTTTATGAGTAATGACAAGCTTTCGATTGTCAGCACAAACAAGCCCATACAATGGCGTACTGAAGAAACTAGCAGCAACTCTTTTAAACTATTAGTATCCAGAAACTGATGGTAAAAATACCCTCAAAAGAGATTATGTATTTTCATAGCAGTCTACATATACAGAGGGTTCATGTGAAAACTGACCACGGAGTTATCAAAAACCACCGATTAAAAGAAAAAACGCCGAGTACACGCTAAGGGCCAATTTCACCAACATTAATATTATGGACCAATGGGAAAATACCTTATCGAAATGAAATTTGACGGAAGCTGTCAAAGGTCTCTGAATATTAGTGATTTCTATTGAAATATTGAATAAAATCGTGAAAATTCGACTGTATTATAAACAAGACCACTTTTTTATTCCAGCATGATGCTTTTGTACAGAAAAAACAGGACAACTTTCATGTATTTTGATATATGTTATAGGTTTACATTTAACAATCCGTTATCCCCCTCAGCGAATGGGAATGTGGCAAATAATAGGTCGATTTTCTAGCTGTTAAATTTGGCAGCAGATTTGGACGTTTGTTAATGCATGGCACTCTTGAATTTACCAACTTCAATATACTGAAAGTTATCATTACATACCTGTTGAATAGTGTGGATTTGTCTGTATTTTGCAAGAAAATAGAAAATAAAATACATTCCATCCAATTCCTCATCTTGCTTTACGTCATAATAGTAATCATTTATTAATTTATGGGTTAATGAATTTCTTCAAAGCGATAAAAACATTATGTCCTCTCCATCCTAAAACACTGATAATATGTGTAAGACGTGTCAGTCCCTACATCTCCCTGATGCATAATGCAATTACTATGGACATAGACAAAAAATTATGAAAAATGTTTCACAGATAATGTCCAAAAATCAAAAAAATTAATAATGTTTATTTTATTGTTTGTCTATTTTTCTTTTTTGACTGGCGGGGATATCTATCTGACACTCGCAGGGTTGCCAAGACTAACGAAGATCACGTCCCGTGGTGGAGGGTGCAAAATGAATCTTTTACATTTGCTGGTTTTAAATTTTTTTCGTGAAAATTTACTAGGTATCATGATTATAAGCACAATCTGGCAACCCTGTCGCACTCTCACAAAATGGCCGCTGATAACCACACAAGTCACCGTGTTGTCATTGAATAGCATGGAATTAAACCTTCAGAGTATAATATGTTTTGTGATTTGTGACTGGTATCAAGAGTTGACAGATCCCACATATGTGTCACTTCTTGATAGATAGATAGATAGATAGATAGATAGATAGTTTATTGTCCTATTAGATCATGTTACATGATATAAGACTTGTCAATATCAATTTGAGGGTCATATATGCGTTTGAGCAAATATGCCAGAAAAATACTTATAATTATAAATAAATAAGGACATTACAAAACGTTTTAAAAGGTTAAATCACATTATAGGTACAGGTACAGTGCAAGAATCGTAATCTGTAACGGTAAAAATATATACATATACAGCGACTTTTTTTATCACAAAAAATGTTCGTCTAGCCGGTAAAAATCATTGAAGCTGATACAAAGGAAGGAAAAGCGGTAGGAGAATCTGTTAGTTAGTTGAAATGCAATAACTAGATGTATTCAAATAATGTCTAATATAAATATAACCTAGAATGTGTACTCGTGAAAAAAGAAAAATATGACAAATTTTTTGCTTTTTTGCAGGTTTTAGGTTTGATGCTAGCTTTAAGGCGTATATTTGGGAATTTATTAATCGCTGTGAATATAGTGTGGATGTTTGTTCAGTTCCTGAACAACGAAAAATATTCAACTTTATGGATGTATGGATATCAAAAAACCTGAATGGTTTTGTGGGAGTATCAATCTAAGGTGCCATAATGGTTCTGATGAACGGCAAGTAAGTAAATGAATGAATGTTTGGAAACGAGCAATATCTTTTGGTAGAGCCTGTCATCAAGTAGGTGCTTAATGGCTATCAGCAAGAGGTTTATAGGAAAAAACACCCAGTATCACATATCAATTGAAGAAAATAATATAGATATGAATAAAAAATCAACAATAGTAATTAAACATTTCTTAAAATTTTGACTGAATTGTATGTAATTTGTTAATATTCAATAAGTTGGTGATGTTTGAATGACAAGTTGTCATCTCATACTTTGACACAACATTTCATAGCTATTGGTTGCTAAAATTTGTTGATTGGAACTTGAAGCTCATTCGCTGTGTCTGACGGTCTGTTACCCTATTGGTGGAGAATAACGGACTGTTGTTGGTGAAATTGGACCTAAGAAATTTATCCAGGGGGACAACTGATTAACCGCACAACTAATACACCCCTTTTCACCTTCTGCCCCCCTGGGTCATCCTGTTAAAAAATTGAAATGACAAGGAGTATCGAGTAATAGCTTGCTTGAAAGGTCTTTCAAAATCCTTTATTTTGATGTTCGATTTGTTGAAATTGGTCGATTCGTTTTCAAGAATATTAGAAAAATCTTTATTTATCGTAATTTGTTCAAGTAGAAAACAAAAACACGAAAATATCACTTTTTATTTCAATAAGTGTTCAAAATGTTGCCCGTTAGGGTTTGCCAAATCTATAATTCGTTTATAATTTAAAACAGAAACTACGAGCCCCTTCCCACCTCAGTTGGCCCACTTCAAGATTTGTACCAAAATATGCCTTTATAAACTAAACATGACGAAACTATTTACTTCTAAAACAATTTATTTTCTCAAAAACATTTTAGATACACTCTAGTCGAAAAAATACATATTTGAAATCACTTAGACCTGTAACTAATAGAACATCTGAACAAATAAACAATGTGCGAATAAATGGATGCGCGAAGTTAACAAAGCAACGCAACAATTGAAAGATTACCGTTGGGTAACATCATCTTTATTTTTTATTGCGGCTGAAATTCTTTAGAGCATAGTGTTAACCAAGTTTTGGCAAAAATTTGGTGTAAAGCAATCCCATATTACTTGAAGCTTTTGAGTCAGTTCGGTGAGTGTACGAGCAGGATGTTGTCGTAGAACCTTTTTCATCTCGTGCCACAAAGTTTCAATAGGTGACAGATCTGGACTGCTAGAAACCCATTTCAAAAGTGGAACATTATTTTTTTCATACATTTTATAGCATTTTTTGAGGTATGGCACGCTGAAACACAAAATCTTGGCCGAATGTCAGACATTCTTCCATCACTGGTAAAAGCAATTCTTCTAAAATTGCCAAATATTTGTTTGTATCCAAATTTCCATCAATAAAATGAAGTTTTCCTACTCGTTTTGATGACGTACTGCCCCAGACCATAATGGATGCTGGAAATTTCGCTTTTCTCTTCAGACAGTAAACATGGAATGCTTCATTTTTTTGCGAATAACTCTAGTGCGACTGTCATCAACACAAGCTTCGAATCGGGCCTCATCACTCCATTGTATTGCACACCATTGTTGAGGTGTCCCTTGTCTGGGTTCTTTAGCCCATCTAAGCCGCTTTTTCTTTTGCAGTGGAGTTAATAGTGGCTTTTCTTTGGCCTATAAACAAGTTGTGCAACAACAGCAAATGACTGCAGCAATTAATGATAATAGTATTCATGTAAAGCTGCACGTATTGGAGCAACGAAAACTCTCATGCTTTTGTAGAAGGGCATACACAATACCACCCAAAAATTAATGTTTGGGTAGACTTTGTAGGAAACAAAGTGATTGGGCCATTGTTTATTAATGGAAATTTGAATGAAGACATTTTGGATAAAAAAATACCATCAATTCGCTTATCACTGGAATCATTGAAAACCAAATCGCAGAGGACGGAAACCCTATACTTGATGAGGCTGAAATATATTTCCAGCATGACGGCGCTCCTCCTCACTATGTTCTTCCGGTTCGGCAATGGCTAGACGATGAGTCTCGAGATAAACGGATAGGGCGAAGAGGCCCTATAGAATGGCATGCTAGGTCTCCTGATTTGACGCCATAAGACTTTTGAAATGTATTGTGTTTACTCCCCAACCTAAAAGTTTGGATGAACTTCGTCAACGCGTCATCGAAAGCTGCAATGATATCCCACAACATGTTTTTGAAAATGTCCGTCAGGAATTTGTACATGGCCTACATCATTATTTGGACCATATCAGGCAACTTATTGGAATAAAAAGTGATATTTTCGTGTGTTTTTGTTTTCTATCTGAACAAATTGATAAATAAAGATTTTTTAATTTTGTTAAAAAGGAATTTTGTAAAATCAAACGTCAAAATGAAGGTCTTCGAAAGACCTTTCAAACAAACTATTACTTGATACTCCTTGTCATTTGAAATTTTTAAAGAGATGACCCTGGAGGCAGAGCGTGAAAGGGATGAAGTAGTTTTTGGTAAAAAAGTTGTCGCGTCTCGGAATTTTTTCTTTTAATGTATACAGGCTACTACCGGAGAAATGTGCACTTAAATAACTTGTATAGTTGGCATGTTAGTACACAACCTCAAACTGCGAGGCTGATCGACCTTAAGCACATTTCACACTCGTCGGTGCATCCCTATACTATGTGAGAAGCACAATAGTTTCGTCAGTAATAAATAATGCAGCAATTGTGTATTTATCGTTATAAAGGAAAATCGATCTCATTTATTATTGAAGTGCTAAAGAAACTACCAGCAAATCTATTAAATATTTAGTATACAGATACTAATGGAGAGAGAACCTCAAAAGAAATAATGTATTGTCATAGCAGTGTACATATAAATAGACTAAAACTGAAGAAATTTGCTTTTCAATACACTAGTTGAAAAATTGTGGGAGCTCTAAAAAATCCATATTTTTCGGTAATATTTGACCGGCTGTTTTTTCGATGGAAAATGGCCGTATCTAAACAAAAAAAGCATCTTGAATCTTTAAGGCTCTAGTTTTCAGGCTGTTTATCCGAAAAGTTGTAGAAGCAACGACTGTAGTCGACGCGGTAGCCCCCAAACATGTGAGCAGTACTCGAAGCGAGGTCTTATCTGCGACTTGCATAGAGTGGGGAGGTTATAAGGGGAAAAATATTGTATTCTTCACGAGTATTCATTGCGGTATAATAACAGCTGATTATCTATACTCTAGGCGCTGAAGAAAGAAACTAAACCCAAACAAATACACGCATATTGCTCGTGAGTGAGTGTTTAGGCGCAGGAGACATTACAGGACCGCATCAAGATATTATGGGTAGTCATCAAAAATTTCATACAAGATAATTATTATCTTTTACAGTAAATTTCAGTTAGAGATTCACAAATGAGTTAACTACACTTTTTAGTTATTAGTAAGTAAGCTGCGCGCGCTCATTCAGAAGAGGAACTTGAATCTTCTGAATCATTTAAATGAATTATTAGAGGTTCAATTTGGGTATCGATGACATTGTCCAAATCCCACATTTTGACCTCAACCTTCTCCCGAACGTGGCGGATACAGTTTTTCCATTCCTCTGCCGTAACTCTATTGACTGCGATGTGAAAGAGATTTTTAACATCAGAAAATTTATAAGTATTATTATTCGACGCCACGTATTGCTTTATGTTGGCCCAAATCAGCTCAATAGGGTTCAGCTCACAATGGTAGGGTGGCAGTCTCAAGACAGTTTTATTTTGTTTTTTGGCCATTTCATCGATCATTTTAAAATCGTATTTGTATTTATGTCTATTGACTATACTTATCAATTCACCCTTGACCATTGTTTCATCAAAATCGATCTGTTTTGAGGCCAGCCATTGTTGTATGTTTGCTTTTTTAGTTGCCATTGTGGAAATTTTTTCTATTTTTCTAGAATGGTACGGGGCAGTATCCAGTACAATAACAGCGTTATTCTCCAGCTTTAGTAACATTTTGGAGAACCAATTTTCAAAGGAATTGCCGTCCATCTCCTCATGATAGTCCCCTGTCTTTTTTGATTCAAAGGCCCACAGTGCTTCGGGAACAAAGCCGTCTTCACTACCTACGTGACAAATGATCAGCCGTTTGCCTTTTCCTGGAAATAAATTATTCCTTACACTATGGATTGATTAAATTTGAAGGAATGAGGCAATTGAGTTCATTTAGCTGAATTTAAGAGTCACGGAATGCTGATCAAAAACTGAAAAAACGTAGAAAATTGAAGTTTGCAACTTCTCAAAACCCATTCAAAGCAAATTGACTGCACCCAAAAATGATAATAAATTTCAAAATAACGCTTAAAAGAGGGTCGAAGTTCTTTTCCTAATGACTACACTGCGAATGCACCATTTTTGGAGAATATCACACATTATCTGCTATCACAGCATATTATTTGCCCGAATTTATCAAAATTAAATTGCCGGATAGATGAAGGAGCTTACCTGCAGGATTTTTCAATCCAGCCGAAAGACCGTCTAGAAAAGCCTGCCTTGCTGATGTTACTGATTTGTTGACCCAAACTTTCGCTTGAGTATGTCCAGCATTCACCCACGTTTCATCCAAATAGTAAATTTTTCTTTTTTCATCGCGAAACTTCCGAATCTTCCTAAGGTATTCCCTTCTCCACACAACAATTTCGTCTTTCTCTATTAACATACTGTTTCTTCCCCGTTTCAAGAATCGAAAATTAAGTTCCTTCAAAAGTTTTCGGAATGTGGTTCTTTTAAATGATGGAAGATCCTCATCAGCATTAACTAATCTTAATATCTTATCTACTGTAGGTATCTCATTTCGGAAGAAAAAATTATGCACTTTCCTCCTGATGGCAGTTCTGTCAAAGTCATCTACTCCGTCCGTTATCCTTTTTCTTGCAGGATACGGTTTTGGCTCAGAAAGTGAGTGAGTGCTCCTATATTCCTTAATGATCCTATAAATACTGGACCGACATACTCCAGAAATATGTGCTACCTTACATATAACTTCGTCCACGACCAAATCGGGTTTTTCTTGAATTTGGTTTTTGTATATATTTAATATTATTTGTTTTTCATTTGCACTTAAATGTAGCTTCTTAGCCCTTTTTTTGGGTGGGGTTGCGCTGATGTCAACCACTTCGTCGGCTGTATCTGTGTCAGACATCGTATCTTAGGCAATATATAAACAAAACGTTCCACTCGCGAAAAACGAGTATACGCTACTGAATGCGTAATGCGTATGCAATGCAATCCTGTGCGTGAATTAACTGTTAGATGCCTGTCGTGTCATCTACAATCACGTTTACAAGTCCAAACCTGTGCAGATTCGTAGAGCGCCGACGACTGCTAGTGACGTTGAATTTGTCTGTAGATCGATGTTACTCCAGTCAATTTAGGTTCAAAGTGGATGTTTTCTAAACCAATTTGTTGTTCCTACATCAAAAATATATCGATGATGTTTTGTACTGGGAGCTCATGAAAGATCAAGGTAACTTATTTCAACAGTCATCCTTTTTCTAGTCTCAAGATGACACGAAAAAGGGTCTGTGGATTCACTAGAAATACACTGCCGAGGATGTTTAGACCTAAAGTGACTGGAGTATATCCGTGGATGCTTTCGAGGGATCTGTTCACGTGCTGATCACTGTTTACGTTTAATGTCTTTCCAGCTTCGGATGCCGTCTGATGTTTGGTGAAATACAGTCAAATATAATCTCAAAATGGCGTTTAAATTAGCCTATGATTATAACAAGGTATAACAATAACAACGACAAACTCAACAACTTAATAAGATGACAAACGAAAACGTCCAAAGAAATATCAAATTGCAATGATGCACACGACATACGTAACACGTCTGGACCTGAATGTGACTCTGCCTTGATACGACTGCTCTGCCGCTCGGCATAGGC